CTCCTTTCTAGCTGCTGTGGAAGCCTGAAACTGATTTTGCAAGCCAGTGAGACTACAGATTTTGATCCAAGTTTCAGGTGTTGTGTGCAACTTTGACTGACTTTCAGGGCCTTCCCTTAGGCAAAAGCTGTAAAAACAGGAAACCCACCCAGATCTATTCCTGCCTCCCAACTGTTGTTTCTTGTCTAAATTCTGCCTCTTTTTGGTTGCTTAAATGTCTTCAGGCAATTATCTTTAAATATTTTTTCCAAGATTCATAGTTATCTGTGGGAATATTGGTTTGATAGGTATTCTGTTTTTATTGGTGGTAGAAATCTGTTATCTATTTTTATTATTTGTTTTAAAAGCTAGAAATAACTCATGAATTTATAATACTTATAATTCAAATTCAGTACTGTAAGGTTTTGTGTTTTTTTCCATTTACATCTATCTTCTTCTGTAATAAGAATTGCAGCTCTCAAAAACATAACAAAGACGATAGAATATCCCTTAATTATTTATTAACTTTGTTCTATATTTTATACACATAGCAGTCTCAGAATAACAATACTTGTACTATCACAATGAGCAAAGTAATTATTGAAACCAACTAAAAATTTTTTTACATGTGCTTTCTGCAAACTTCCATCCCTCAATTTTTTTGTTTTTGAGACAGAGTCTCACTTTGTCACCCTCAGTAGAGTACAATGGTGTCACAGTTCACAGCAACCTCAACTCTTTGGGCTTAAGTGATTCTCTTGCCTCTGCCTCTGAGTAGCTCAGACTACAGACGTCTACCACAACACCTGGCTATTTTTTAGAGACAGGGTCTTGCTCTTGGTCAAGCTGGTCTCAAACCCATGAGCTCAGGCAATCCACCTGCCTCGGCCTCCCAAGTGCTGGGATTACAGGCATGAGCCACTACGCCCAACCTTATCCCTCAGTTTTAAAAATATTTTACCATTGGGCAGTGCCTGTGGCTCAGTGAGTAGGGTGCCGGCCCCATATACTGAGGGTGGCGGGTTCGAACCTGGCCCCGGCCAAACTGCAACAAAAAAAATAGCCAGGCGTTGTGGCAGGCGCCTATAGTCCCAGCTATTTGGGAGGCTGAAGCAAGAGAATTGCCTAAGCCCAGGAGTTGGAGGTTGCTGTGAGCGGTGTGACACCACGGCACTCTACTGAGGGCAATAAAGTGAGACTCTGTCTCTTAAAAAAAAAATTTTTTTACCATTAACAACTTTGCATGCATTTAGTCATTAAATATTATATTCTCTCCTTTGTAGTTCTCATTTAATTTTTATGAACAAGTAAATAAAACTTGCCTTCAAGTTCTCAGACTGATAAGACTATTTTGGTTGTCCAAAGCTTGTTTTCTAAAATATTATTTAGGAAGAAATCATGGGAAGAGTATTCTCTAAATGTTTACATTTTTGGTAACAGTTTATATATGGCTTCCATGTGTTGAAAATCAGTTTTACTAAATAGAAAACACTTTGCTTGAATTTTCTTTCCTTGAATATCTTTTTGTTTTTTGAAACAGAATCTCAATCTGTTGTGCTGTGTTGAGTGCTGTAGTCATAGCTCACAGTGACCTCAAAATCCTGGGATCAAGCCTGTTGTCTCAGCTTCCTGAGTAGCTGGGACTCTAGGCACCCACCACAATGCCCAGCTAGTTTTTCTATTTTTAGAGACGGCATTCTTGCTGTTTTTCAGGCTGGTCTTGAACTCCTGAGCTCTGCTTATACACCCACCTCGGCCTTCTCAAGTGCTACAATTATAGGTGTGAGCCACTGCACCTGGCCTTGTCGAATATCTTAAATTTGTTACCCTGTTTTCTTCTGGCATAAAGTGTCTGCCTTTGATGTTGGCCTTCTGGGTCTGTATTCTTAGGTGTGTGTGTACTGTCTTCTTTTAATCAGTGGTTCAGTTTTTTGGGGTTTTTTTTTATATATATTTAGGGAAATTTTCTTGAGTTACAATTTTCCCTGTATATTTTCTTGCTTAAATACTTTTTAAGGACTTCTATTACATGGATCTGTGTTGCCTCATTAGTTGTTCACTTCCTTTCAAATCCTTTTTATCTTTTGATTTCAAAATGTTCTTCTTTTTTTGACTTCTAGTTCTCTTAAAACACTATATACTGCATATATTGGATATTGGGTTTATTTCATTTTACTCCATTTAATAAACTTTTTATTTCTAATATTTTTGAGTTTCATTATTTGTGAGAGTTTTTTATTGTTGTTAATTGTTTTGTTTTCTGAGACACAATCTTATTCTGTTGCCCCAGGCTAGAGTGCCATGGCTTCAGCCTAGCTCACAGCAACCTCAAATTCCTGGGTTTCAGTGATTGTCCTGCTCAGCCTCTTGAGTAGCTGGGACTGCAGGTTTCAGCCACAATGCCTGGCTACGTTTCCTATTTTTTAGTAGAGATGGAGTCTCACTCTTACTCAGGCTAGTCTCAAACTCCTGAACTCAAGGGATTCTACTACCTTGGCCTCCCAGTATGTTAAGATTATAAGTGTAAGCCACCATGCCTGGCCTATTTCTGAGTTTTTTGAAATGTGATTTATGTTCTTCTGTCATGTCTTGAATCATTTTTATAATATCTTTTATAAGGTATTTTGAAATAGTAGGTTATAATTTTTACCTATTTTGTGGATGTGTGTTCCTGTTATGCCTTTATTACCAGGATATTATTCTGTATCTTACTCTCTTTTTTCTGATGACTGTGGGATTGACATACATCATGTTCTGTTGCTTTTATGCAAAATTGGGTTTCCCGGACACCAGGAGATGTGGTTCTGGAGGGCTTTTCTCACAGAGCTCCCTCTGCTGTTGTTTTTAGGCATGCTTCCAAACTGTGGTATTTGCTTTCTGTGATTTCTGGCTCTCTTCCCTTCCTTTATCTGAATATTGTCTTTCCATTATCCTCATTGTGTTTTGTTTTGAACCAATCATTTATGCCCATTATGCTATTCTGTTATGCCAAGATCAGTTTCAAGGGTTCATAGAGGGTAGGCTGAACCAATTTCTTAGACTTCACTCTGGACTCCTTGTACATAGTCACTATTTAAAAAGGTAAAACCCTTGTAGTTATAGCTTCTGTACTCAGATTAACTTGCTGGTTTTGGTGAAAACCTGTTGCTATTTTGGGAGTCTCTTGTTGTTCATTCTATCAGACATTTGTTTTTTTCTGCTTCTTCCTTTACAGATAATAATACTATGTAGGTTTTGTGGTTGCTGATGATTTGTTCCCCTCTGCCGTTTTGGGGGGCAGTGAGAGGGGGATTCATGGATATTCTTGTCACCTAGCCTTGTCGTAAATGGCGTCCATGGGTTTTTAAGTTTACTATTTCTTTAGTTTTGTGCATTATGTGGGAATTTATAGATGCTCAAAACACTTTGGCACCACCTCTGTTGTCCCCACATCTTTCTTATTTACCACTTCTTAATTGTTGTTGCTGGGGTAATTTGTTACAAGTTTTATAATCTTGCCATAATTAGATTATAACTTCCTTCAAGTACTGCTTGAATTAGTAAGTTCAAGTGCTGGCTCAGCACTTGTGGCTCAAGTGGCTAAGGCGCCAGCCACATACACCTAAGGTTGCGGGTTCGAATCCAGCCTGGACCCGCCAAACAACAATGATGGCTGCAACCAAAAAATAGCTGGGCGTTGTGGCGGGCGCCTGTGGTCCCAGCTACTTGGGAGGCTGAGGCAGGAGACTCGCTTGAGCCCAGGAGTTCGAGGTTGCTGTGAGCAGTGAAGCCATGGCACTCTACCGAAGGGGACAGCTTGAGGCTCTGTCTCAAAAAAAAAATAATAATAATAAGTTCAAGTGCTATCCTGTGTTGAAAACAGTTTTACAGTGTTGAGCATACTACTGGACATGTATATAGTGGCTTAGAGTTGTCAATTTGTAAATTTGTTTAAGGATAATTATAGGCCAACTTGCAACCTTTTAATAGTATAATTAGCAGCTACCCTTAAAAATGTAAGGGAAACCTAATATTAACTTGCCTGCTTGTATGTGAAGTTAATTTGTGCATCATCTTTGGCATGTATGCCATCGCCTGTTAGTCCCTGGTCTGAGCATTTTTGGAAGGCATTGATCTAATGTACTGATGGTGTAAAAAAAGACACAAAAGACTAAGCATCATAGAAACATATTGAAAACAAAGCAGAATGAGAGCGCATTCATCTTTGTCACAGTTCAAAAATACTGTCAGAGAAATAGAGAAACTTTTGAACAAAGCAATTAAGATGATTAAGGTGGTAAAATATTTTCTTAAGATTAAGTCAAAACTAGCTCGGCCTGTAGTACAATGTTTACGGCACCAGCCACATGCACCAAGGGTGGTGGGTTTCAACCCAGCGTGGACCAGCTAAACCTTTTTGCTAAAGGTTAACGACAACTGCAACAACAACAAAATAGCCAGGTGTTGTGGTGGTTGCCTGTAGTCCCAGCTACTTGAGAGGCTGAGGCAAGAGAATCACTTAAGCCCATGAGTTTGAGGTTGCTGTGAGCTGTAACTCTACCCAGGGTGACATAGTGAGACTCTGTCTCCAAAAAAAAAAAAAAGAAAGAAATTTTGTCAAAACAAATAAAAAGGACAGTTTGTTAATATGTAGAAAGGTGAAGGGGTGTGTCTGAAATATGACAGAATTTGATAATGGTGAAGGGAACTGAAGAACACAAAACAATACTTTTGGCCAGTTTGTATATACTGGGTAATAATTTTAAGGATCTTGTTATCCTAATGGTGACCCAGTTCCTTTGCTGGTGAACTGGTGTTCTATAAAACCAGTTGATACAAGTCATTTAAATGCAAAAGAGCTTTATTGACTTGATAAAGCTTTCTAAGATATTCATTATGTTAAGAAATTTGGTATTTTTTATTTTTTCTTCAGGTCCCTTTCTTGTTTAAAGTAATCATTTAATTTTTATTATGAAAATAGATTATGTACTCATGTTTATTCAAAACTCCTAATTTTTTACCTTTATAACAATCTTTAACAGGCCTCAACAAATAATGAAAGCTCTAATCACAGCTTTGGAAGCTTGGGATCTTTAAGTGACAAGGAATCTGAGGTAGGTACTTTCATTTTAATTATGGTGCTATTAAAGTAAAAACTGGAGTCATCTTTTTAACTACTTTTTTTCTTCAGTCTTTTTGCCAAAGGTTAATGTTGTTAAAGGCTCTTGTAGGAGTGTTTTATCCTGCTTTGAAGCACAATATTCATACCGAAGACCTTATTTGGAATTAGAAAGAAAATATAGTTTCTTTGGCTATGTAACTGAACTTGTAAATTAATGAGGTATAGATGTCCTTAATGGAAAACATTTCTTAATCATTCATTATTCTATGAGATGAAGATGGCTTTTGAAAAATGTTGAGTTTCACAGTTTTCTATTATTTCTCATTATTCTTCCCTCTTAGTTTGGTCCTGGGTAAGGGTTTGTGTACTTTCTGAGATACCGATACACATTTTTTTACTCTTTGTAGAATTTCTTACAGAATCATACGGCTTGTTTTCCATTTTCATGTCTTAAAAAATCTAAAGAATCCCCTCCTTACCCACTTACTGACCCCACCAAGAAAATAACATGGGATTTTATAAGTAGGCATTCAGATCCATAGTTCAATCTGCATACAGTATACTTGACGGCATCTTTTAAAAATGGGTAGACAGGAAGTTCTTTGGGTTTTAACAATCATTTGTTTAGGTTACAACCTCACTTCTTGTGGATATAGTCTTTTCTTTCCTCAGACTATACAATTCTATCCTTTTTTAAAATGTGTGTGTGCACATGTGTGGTGTGTGTATGTGGGGTTTTTTTGGTCAATCTTACCTTATTTCTACTTGATTTATTTTAGTCTTTTTTCTACTTGGGTTAGTGTAGATACATCACCTTTGTAATAGCAGTAGGTTGCTAGTACTCAGTGACTCCTAGGCATTTGTTTCGGTGTTCAGAGGAAAGGGAACTTCAGAGGTGGCATACTCTTTAGCCCTGTGTTATTGAAAGCAGCTAGGAATCGCTAGGTGGACGGTTTTGTGCAGTTCTATGTAGGCACCCTGATACTCTCCCAAAGAGTGTGGCATAGGGCTCTCACTCATCAGGCTTTCCCTTCCACAGAGACAACTGGCAGGCAGCTGAAAGGACTGTGCAAGTGACGGACTTTATCTGCAGTAGGTTCCCTTGAGGTAAGCGTTAGTAGCCCTATAGCACAAGATTATTACAGTTTAGTTTTTCTGAATTAATATACTTACACTAAGTACACTAAGTCCTTAAAAACTGTAGGTTTAGCTATAGTTAAAGCACAGTTTTTCAAAGACTATATCAAGAATGTTTTCATTTTATATTTCCTGGACATTGGAACATTTCTTGATTATTTTCCCAGAATTGGGAATATTTAGTAATTTCACATGCTTCCTTTTTCATAGGCATTTTTGTTATGAAGGGCAGTAAATATTTTTAGATATTTCTGTTTTCTGTTCACCGAATATGGTGTTTCTGATAGGTTTTTTTTTCTTTTTAAGTAGAAAAATATAGTAAAAGTTAGATTACTTAGAACAGTTATATCTTTCTTTACAGGTACTTGTCCTGTATTCCCAATATAAGTTATAGATTTAGGAGTTGGATTTTTCAGAGGAATCAATGTATTTGAAAATTCTACTTCCTTTTAAAGAATTCTAAGGATCACTTTTGGCTGTGATTTTAGTTAAAGCTTTGTTTTTTGTTTCTTTAAAAGACCACAGTGGCATTGTGGAATGAAACACAATTTGCTTAGCCATTGAATATAATTTATATGTTATAGAAGTTTTGACATTTGTAATAATAATTAGAAAATTTTGAAATTTTGGCTTTTGATGTGTGTTGCAATTCTGAAATTTTGCAACTCTGCATTTTTACAAATTACTATTTAAATCTAATGGCACATTTTGGAAATGACTTCAGATTATATATTATCCTTAAGATTAAAAGAAGCAACTTTTATTTATTTATTATTAAAGGAGTCTTAAGTTTTATCTCTATAGTATTAGGGGCCTTAATTAATGAAAATGATACTTAGGTTTGATCTCTGTAGTAGGTTAATTAACTAGTAGGTTAATTTTGAATTCTCTTGGATGAAATTTTATATATATCAAATACAAAATACAGAAATCATTGTATCACTAAAATTACTGGGTACAGATAGTTGTGAAATAGAAGTCCTTTTCTTTTTTTCAGTACTCCTAGTAGTAAAGTTTATGTTTTTGTGAGCAAATAGTAGTGCTAGAAGATTTGTTTATTTATTTATTTGAGACCCAAATAGGAGTGCAATGGCCTCAGCCTACCTCAAAGAGCAACCTCAAACTCCTGGTCTCAAGCGATCCTCCTGCCTCAGCCCCTCAGTAGCTGGGACTATAGGCATCTGAAACAACACCTGGCTAATTTTTTTATTTTTAAAAAATACCAGTCCACTACCACTCACCCTTACTTCATCCTCAATCCTTTTGACTTTTCTTCCTGGTATTTATGTCTATATTTTAATATAATTTCCATATAGTAATACTATTTTAGTTCATCAGTTGGACATTATCTTTTAACTCCTCCTTAGGATCTATGTAATATCCCTTTCCCCTACTTTGTATCTTCTATCCAGCACGTTTCAGTTACCCAGAACACTTCTGTTTTGTTTTTCTTGAGACTGAGTCTCACTGTGTCACCCTCAGTAGAGTGCTGTGGTGTCATAGCTCACAGCATCCTCTGCCTCTTGGGCTTAAGCAATTCTCTTGCCTCATCATCCCAAGTAGCTGGGACTACAGGCACCCTCCACAGCGCCCAGCTGTTTTTTTTTTGTTGCAGTTGTCATTGTTGTCTACAAGGCCTGGGTGGGGTTCAAACCTGCCTGCCTGGGTGTACGTGCCTACCCACTGAGCTATAGGCTCTGCCCACCAGAACACTTCTGTTTTCTTCTCTGTTTACTACTAAAACTGAGAAGCATCTGATAGCTAGTCATTGTTAGGTTGATCTACTTCAACTGAAGTTATTTCCATTTGTATATGAACTCATATATGTTTTTGACTTTTACTTGTAAATGTAGAATTGTAGAATAAAAAAACTTTTCCTCATGTTAATGAAATCACTTGAGAGGTAGGAAGCGTTTGGTGTGGTTTGGTTTTATTTTACAGTGGGGTAGGTCTATTCAAAAGCCTCCAAAATTCAGTGCATTTTCAGTAAGCATTTATTGCATATCTGTTGTCTTCTAGTCTCTCTGCCCAAGAAATATGATACAGTCTCTGCCTTCAAGTGAGTAGGACAGGCAGATATTTAGGCGGTTTGCTTCATGAAGTGTGGGCTATGCTGTAATGGGTGTAAATGCAAGGTATTGTGGGAGCAAAGGGCAAGAAACACCAATTCCATCTGCTTGCAAGAGAGGAAAAGCAAGAGGGTCTTCCTTCAAAGAAAAAATGATGGTTGAGTTATTAAGAAATACTGTGAATTCATCTCAGAGGACAAGCGCAAAATAGGAAAAGAGGGTAGACAGAGGGATGAGGTTGTGTTTTTGCTTTCGTGTGGAAGCATGGCAAGTAGTTTGGTTCAGGGCATAGGGCTGTGATTCTTAGCCCCCACTGCACTTTAGATCACCTGAGCAGCTTTATAAAAATACTACACTGTCTTGTTGATTTCCCCAGGTTTGCAAATTTCTAGTAGAGGAAGTATATGCAAGCATGGTGAAAGATAGACAGGGGTCAGGTTTTGAAGACCCTTTTGTATATCCTGATGAGGAATTTGGACTTAGGCATTGGCGTGCTTTTGAAGCAGGAGAAATAAAAGTCAAAATTGTAAAAGGCTCCCACAGATGGCAGGGTAGAGGATAGTATCAGAGGGAGACAAAACCTGTTTTAGGAAGATCACTTAATTAAGGAATACTGCCTTTATAAAACTCTGAACCTTCAAAGTTTAATTATTAGGAGGAAAAGCTTGCAGTGAGAGGGGTTCTAAATACAGTGTTCTCAAGTTGCCTTTAGGTCTCTGTCTTCTTTAGATTCTCTAACTTTGCTTACTGGGACTATCACCATTTAGAGCAGTGCTTTTTATACTTTTATGGGCAAATGAATCACTTATGTTCTTACGATAGATCTGGGGGTCAAATTTTGCATTTCTAATAACTTCCATTAGATTTAAAAAGTAGAATCAATAGGGATTGATGACTTTAGCATAAAGAAGGAAAAGGGGGAGCATAGGTTTTTTTTTTTTTTGAGATTTAGTTTCACTGCATTGCTATGGGTCAAATGCTATGGCATCATGTCATCATAACTCACAGCAACCTCAAACTCCTGGATTCAAGCAATCCTCCTGCCTCAGCCTCCCAAGTAGCTGGGACTACAAGCATGTGCTATCATGCTCAGCTAGTTTTTCTATTTTTAGTAGACAGGGTCTCAACGCTTGCTCTTGGTGGTCTCAAACTCCTGAGTTTAAACAATCCACTTACCTCGGCCTTCCAGAGTGCTGTGATTACAGGTGTGAGCCACCATGCCCAGCTGAGCTTAGGATTTTTAAAGGTATCTAGCTTTAATGACTTTGATTATGACAGGTGACACATAAGGAAAATGAATAGAGTTGGTATAGAAGATAATGAGTTGAATTCTGGGCATTACTGAATTGAATATCTGTGAGACAAACAAGTGGGGATGGTTCTGCAGTAGCAGAAGCTATCTAGATGGAGCTCAGGAAAGAGGTCAGGCTAAATAGGAAAACTAAGGGGTCTTTGACGATAGGTAGGTATTAATTAAAGGTTTGAGTGTAGATATATGGATCTCAAAGGATAGTTTGAGAATTAATATGGGTCCCTAAGACACTTGTAAGGGGTCCACGAAGTCAAAATGGTTTTTGTAATAGTACTGGCACTTTTTTGCTTTCATTGTCTCACAAGCTTACAGTGAAAATTTTCAGAGATGGTATGATGGGTTGGGTTGATATCAGTGATGATTTGTGAATTGTGTACTTACATGTATTTTTTCTAGTGTTAGAAAGTTTTTTTCTTTTTCTTTTTCTTTTTTTTTTTTTTTTTTTTTTTTTT